GAATAGCCTGAAACTCCGTCTTCTCACTGCTAAGCCCCGCCTTCTTCCCAAATCCAAAAATGCCAGGGAATTTCTAGAAGCATGTCACTCTGACAAATCAGCCATCAATAGACACATAGACCTTAACAACATCTACACACTATGCAAAAGGGAAACTTTCCAGCATCTCTCCCTCAGCTATCAACACTCAGATCAGCACAAATTAACTCCAAGGTTAACTTCAGACTAACAATCAAGAAACTGCAAAAGAGCCATCGGTAAACAGTCCAACCCAGTCTCCGCCCCGACCCACAGCACTGATGATGTTACCTAGTTTGGTTAATGAAACGTCTGTAAGAAAGCAAACAAGCTCAGAAAACACAGAGGATCCCTCATTTCATGCTACAAATATTCTTTTATTAGTAACACTAATGCAGTTCTAATCCACACTGTTTTTAGAAACTAAAAGCACGAATTCCAAATAATTTTGGAATTATTGGTTATTTGTGCTTGGATATATATGTAGATTCACTTTTGAAGCAAATGGTGCCCTGCTTAAGACATTAAATTCTATTTCCTTTCCAACTTGGTTTTCTGGTTCCCAATTTCTTTCAGGTTAGTCTTCCTGTGGGTTTTTTTTAGATTAAATGACATCGGTTTCTCCCTCGGAATTATCCTTAAAAATCTGTTTTTTGTTTTGTTTCTGTAAACTATGTTGCTGATCTTACCCTCCAATATGTGACGATATATGAATCTGTAGCTCTCAGTAAGCAAACAGAATTGTACCTTAAAGAGTGGTGCTGCATGCGCTCTCTTTAGAGATTCTTCCAAACTGAAACAGAAAAGGACTTCAGCCTCTGCATCTCGGAGCAGGTAGCTTTGTTCTTCTATAAAAAGGTGTAGGTGGAGGGAACATAACTTTAATTTTTTCAAAACAGGAGATGGTGAAATCATTTACTCATTCTTAAGAATTATTCTGAGAAAGTTTGAGATGCTTAAAAGTCACCTTACCACTAGCAGTCAAAATACTTCACTTTAAATACTTCACTGATGTTCACTAAATTTACAGAGTGGAAGATCACCCATTGGATTGACTAAATAAAATTGCATTAATGCCTTTAAAGCATGCATGTAAAAACTGCAAGACAGGAACTTCTTGGATTAGGAGTACAGTCACTAAGCAGTGCAGCATGAAGTGCAACATCACTTGATCACAATGCTTACAGACAGCCATCATGGCAGTATGAGTTGCCATCATAAGCCCAGGACCATGCTAACTGTTAAGAGGCAGGGAATGAGGAATGCTATGGAAGAAAGTGGGGGATGTGGCCAAGTGCTATAAAGTGCAAATGGACTGGTAAAACTATGGCTAAGTGGGAGGCTGCTATGGGCGGGCAGGCACTATGGAAGGCGGATGAGTGTTAGAGTACAAGATCCCTGGGGATAATTTACCAGATCAACTTATGACCTTCTCTGCCAGCTTTGCCACTAATTTTTCCTGTGAGAAGCTGATACAAAAGGTCACAAACGGTAAATACATGATCGTGGCTCACTGCAATATTGTAACTTGTCTTTTTATGTACACTGACAGCGTATGCGCCAAAGACAAATTCCTTGTGTATCCAATCATACTTGTCCAATAAAGAATTCAATTCAATTTGCAAGAAGGGCACCCAAGTGCCTTGATTGCAATCGTGTTACCATGGAAATGCAACGGCCAGAAGTTCAAGGTTTGGTCCTACTTCTCTTCTTTTAGCACTGCTAAACTCTGAACAATCACTGACAAAAGAACATAAGCCAAGGACCACATGAAAGATGAAGAATGAAGAGGAGGGGGGAAGGACAAAGAAGAAGGGGTCAACATAGTCTTCAAAGCACCTGAGGGTAGAACAAGAAGCAATGGATGAAAACTAATCAAGGAGAGATCAATCTAGAATTAAGGAGAAATTTCCTGACAATTACAATTAATCAGTGGAATGACTTGTCTCCACTATGAATGCTCCAACACTGGAAGTTTTAAGAAAAGATTGGGCAATTATGTCTGAAGTGATAAAGGGTTTCCTCCTTGAGCAGGGGGTTGGATTAGAAGATCTCCAAGGTCCCTTCCAACCCTACTTTTCTATTATATCACACTCTTTAGATTACTAAAACAGAGTGGTTAGAGGGAGAGTAAAAAATGGATTTTTGGATGAATTGACTTGTAAGAGGCCAGTTTCAAAATAACACAGCAGTTATTCTATTCTAGTCAAAGATAATAAAAAATAGTATTTTAGAGGAAAAATTCTTCAGTGAAGTTAATTTACTTGTAAACCAAAGGACACCAGTTCCAATCAAAGTTCCACAGTCATATTTGAAGGAAGGACTCCACAATAAACTCTTACTTTGTTCAACATGGCCATTTACTAACCTATAAATTTCTGACACTTGTAACATTCTTCCAACCATTCTGGTGTTACAATATGTTTTGCAACTGAAACTGCTGTCAGGAACTTTACAGTGCGGGTTACTTTACTAGCTATCACATGAGTACACTTCTGAGCAGACTCTGCTACGTCACCTCCAAGAACATAGACTTTCTAAAAATGAAAGAAAAAGAGGGGGGGAAACAGAGTTTTAGAACTTTTAGTCATAGGACAACAGACTAGAGAATGAATTGTTATTATACAATCAATGGACAGCCATGTACATGAAAAAAAATACTTTTGGAAAACAATGCTCAATTATTACAAAGTGATGTTTTGATACACGGCCTGATCCAGTCACCAATTCCAATTTGTCAGTAGAGATAACCAGCACATTGTGAAATCAACCTTAAAGTCACATGAAATATTTTAATTCAAGAAGGAATTCACCTTTATGTACTGATGTACTTGATTAGGCTCAAATCCTGTAAAAAGAATCACTGGTGTCAATTCTGGTGGCAGTTTTTTTGTAGGTGTCGGCAAGTCTTCAATTCTAGAAATATAAAATTAACTTAATGTTATTTTTAACCTTCAATCAAATAACTTAATAATTATTTCCTAAATTCAAAATTAGGACAACTCATATAGTTCTCTAAATGTCTAAATGTCTAAATTAAAGATTTTTTTTCTCATTTAGTAAATTATAAAATAAAAGGGACACGTCTGCTTTTGCTGTGATGTTTCATATTCCTTTGACATGTATCTCACTTCCAAATATTTGCTGCTTGATTTGTCCCCATGGTTATACTTTTTTCCAGATAGGTGTAATTCAAAAATGTATAATGCTTAAAATATAAAAATAATTTCATTTCAGTAACAATACCATTTCCAAGCAAATATTGAACTGCTTAAGCATTGTCATTTTCTTACCTTGGCCTCTTGATTGTAGGTTGAATTACTGGTTCATTCTGCTTTGGTTTAAGTGGTAATCTCACATTCTACAATTAGAAGGTATACATTTGGCTTTCTTAAGCACTGTTTAGAGTTTTGTATCAATATATTTAAATATATATAAAAACATATACTGTACTAAAATCATGTAAGTATACAGAACAACCCTCCCCCTGCCAACTCATAAAATTAAATTCCAGGAAAATAATAATATTTTAGTAATAATGCTGCAGTAGAAAAAGATACATGGATTATGTACTTAAACATTTTGTAATGCTTTCTAAACAATTTTCTTTATTTAAAGTATGCTATCTAGTTTACTTCATCAATTATTACTTAAGCCCCTAAAATACTCATAGTAGAAAAGTCAAGTCCCCAAGACATGAACAGAGACTCACCTTCATATATATTGCAAGTTCAGGATGTGGCATTATGCGCACAAGTAGAAATATGCCTATGCAAAATGCTGAGCTCAAGCAACTGGGAAGATGACATGGGATACTTAATGTGATGGCTCCTCTTTCTATACTGGGAGATCCATGGTATCTTCCTGGTTTGCTGAGCTCTGGGAGATGTAGTTGCAGAAGCAATGCTTGCAGCAATGGTGCAGGAAGACCATAAGGGATCTGACCAAGCACAAATATAACCTCAAAACTAGACCGTAGTAGCAAGAGGCAACGTAAATGTAGTTGTTCTCTCAAATTGTGCTATAGGCTATCAGCTGTTAGTGCTGCTCAGGGTGAGCAGTTCACTTCTTGGGGGTGAATTAGATGTTAGGTTGCCCATTTGATTGTTGCAACTAATTTGCACAGCACTTTTTTGACGATGTTGCCAATTCTTCCTGGGTGAGTCTGATGTGGTTACTGGGGTTGAATCTTGCCCTGTTATTTGGGACATTTTATGGCCTGGGAGTCTTGGACAGGATACTCCTTTATTCCTAGTCACTTGTAAGCTGGAGACACATTACTCTTAAGAATGAAAGTGTGTAATACACTGCATTGGGAGATGACCGGTCAACATCTCATTTCAGAATGAACTGATGCTGGCATCCCTTCCCCCCTCCCCCTCAGAAAACTGTTCCTGGATTTGCTCCTTCATCATTGTGTAGAATAAAGTAGAATTTCATTTCATGCCAAGAAAATCATAGATTTAAATGGGGGGAATGAGGGTGCAACATTAATGCAAAAGAGCGTACAACAGATTCCAGGAGCTTGCACTTTATGGAACCTCCTTCTTACTGGCAGTCTTTTTGTCCCAATTAGTGATCATAACCAAGCTGGAAATGTTCAGTCAACTGGGCAAGTATTTATACAGACACTGCATCTGATTTCCAAGGAAGGAAAGAAATACAATAATCAGGTATAGCAAAATTTTAACTAAAGATTAATACAAAATATTTTAAGCAATGTAAGTATTTTATAGTCCAGGACCTCTTCGTTTTGTTCACATGCATTCTTTTTTCTGTTCCCCACATATAAAGATGTTTAAAGCAACACTACGTACCATTTGAAGTTCAGGTGACACCTTTAAAGGCACCCTCCAAGCATCTGGAATTAATGAACAGAAAGAAGAAATTCTTACACCAAGGCATGGTTTCTGGGATGCTTCAGTACCTGGGTCAATATCCATTTGGCACATCACTCTTTGTCACCAATTAAGGCGTACAATAAAAGCGCATAGAATTGGGATAGTGAAAGCCTCTGGAGCCTGGGGAGGGTGAAAAAAAGCGCACCAAATGCAGGGGGGGGGGGAAATCGCGTGCATAGTATTATGGGTGTGGGCACGCCAGCGCTTGAATCCCCCCTGCGTTCCCCCCGCTTTTGACACGTGATGCAATTGGCAAACATGATGCAATTGGCCTAGGTTGGATGAATATATAATGTAGTTTCATGTAGTTCTTCCTATCAGTTCCCTCTCTCCCTTAAACTGGGTTAATGGAAAAGGAGAAATTAATGGATTAAATTAATTGACGAATTAAAATGATAAAGACAACTCAGAGCAATTAATTACATCACAAGAAAAAAGGCTACATTTAAAAACTCTGCTTTATTTCAGATTGCTCATTAATAATCTGTAGAGTTAGATGATGCTGTCGTAAGACATAATTCATATTTAAAGGACATTTCAGGAAATCTTCCCTTTCAATTGAATCTTCCATTTCTTCTTCTTTTGGCTAAGCTATACTTTTGCAGGAAGAACTGAAAACTGAAATGCCTATGAAATAAAATATAGTCGGACTAAAATTTCTTTTCTTCAAATGGACATGTTTATTTGTTTCTAAGAAATGATGTAAAAGGTTTTATTTATTCGTTTACAGATTAATAAGGTTAACATAACTACCACTAATCAAATATTACTTTACCACCTGCTCTAAAAAAAGATATATACTTAAAAAAATAGATTTGAAACTAAAGACAATCAATGGTTAATTTAGTTTTAAAATTATTTTATGCATATTACGAATAAATCTCATTAAACTTTAAGATCCTCATTTTTGTCAACATGCTTATAGTAGTTCATACTATCAAAAGGAGCACCCATAGTGAATATAATGGAATGTCCAAAAGAAACAACAAATTATTATTTTTCACTGAAACACAATGTTTGTAAAGTTTTGCAAGTCTTCTTACCAAGAAGGTTTGGAACTAGATGCTGATTAGGAGCAAAGGGTTCTTGAAGATTGAAAACTGTGTATCGATTGTGCTGCATTTGCCGCAAAGCCTCAAAATTTCCAAGTAAGATATCACAGAGCCATTGTACATTAACGCAAGGTATCCTCCACTCTTTGGCCTTTTCATACTTTACACCAGTTGGCCTTGAAATAAGCAAAAAAGTCAATGACAGGAAGTAAGTCAGAACAGCTTTTCCTAAGATGATGTTCTCCAAATATATTAGGATTGCACCCCCAAATTCTCAACCCAGACAGCTTTCAGTAGAGTGCAGAAGACTGTAATATTGCTAATTTGTTAAACTTTTTTATAAAAATGAAAAATGATGTTAAATCCTCTTAAACCATTGGAACATACAATTTTGAGGGCTGCAGTGCTAGTTTTTATAGAATAAAAATAGACAGTAAAACTTAAAACACTGCAATTGAAGAAGAATCTATTCCAAAATTTTAAATATATTATAGCATAACAAAGTCAGGAAAACTAAATGCTTTTATTCTGAAAAACAGCTGTTAGAAAAGCAGACATAAAACTGGACCCATTCAGTGTTATCCACATTATTATTCCGAACAGCACTTACGCTTTACAGATAAGAATGGTGTTACTGCGACAAAGATAGCCTGTGTATTTTGCTCCTGCTAGGTAGGCCATCAACTTGAGATCGCCTCTGTCACCATCCACAAAACCTGTTACAGCAATTATCTGGACAGAAGCAAATGAAACAACTGTAAATACATTGGTTATTTTATTTTTCTTTAAGTGACACTAACCTTTAACTAATTCAGTATTTCTCAAAATAAGATGCAATTGCAACTCCCAAAATAGATATAATCTATTCAGAATAGAATAGGATAGGGCATGCATAAGTGCACCAGCATGCCTAACATTCCTGTCCTACTGTCTCCATTTATTTGTACCCATTTCGTGTGTTCTTATTCATGTTTATTCTTTCCTGTTATCTTATACGAGTGACTAACTAAATAAATAAAATAAGTAAGTTCCAGATTTCCTGTACATGGGTAGAACAAAAGACATTCAACTTTTTTAACAGGAAGCCTGTCTTAGTGAGTTAACTCCAAAAGACGAGAAGAAAGATTAAACTTCTATGCTTCCAGGTTGCTGGGCTAGATGGTTGCATTATAAATCAAGACAGTTTTAAGGCAGAGAGGCAACCAGCCTTTTCTCTTTGCTGTCATTAAGTCAAAATACAGGGGGCAAGACCCCTTTCTCTCTCATGCACCGAGTTTAGGTGTAAAGTCAGTCCAGACCACCTGAAAAACAGATGGTGGGAAGAGGAATGACTAAGCTACTATTCCAATACTAGGAGATTGGGCTCACACTCTCCAGAAAAGATAAAATTTGAGGGTCCTTCTGATTTGAAATCTCCCTTTGGTTTCCTGGATTGAGATAATAGCCAGGAGTATCTTTTAATAGCTCTGATTCTCTAATTCTATTCCTCATGAAGAAAATTACTGTAGGATTTGGGTTCCAGGGGGTAAATACTATCAACATACTTCACATTGCCTTTACAATTAGTAAAGAAAATTCACTAGGAAAAAATACAGAAGTTGAAGAGACCACACTGTATCAATGCTAAAAGTTTTAAGCTGACTGGCAATTTCCAAATTGCCAGTCCTATGGTGCAGGTAGTCCTAGTTGAACAACCATTCATTCACATAAAACAACCAGTTACAATGCTGAATGCAGTTATAATGCGTTCTTATAAACTGTGACCATCGCAGCATCTCTGTGGTTACATGATTGCGATTCGGACACTTGACAAAAGTTCACAATGGCTGCACTATTCCACAATCATGTGATGGCATTTTCCACCTTTACGACCAGATTCTGACAAGCAAAGTCAGTAGGAAAGCTTGCAGGAGGTCATAAATGGCAATTCTGTGATTGTGGGATACTGCGATGATGTGGGATTCACCTAACAATAGCATCTGGGAGTGTCACAATTGTTGGTGTAAATCAGTGCAATCACATGACACTGCACTTTATAATATCACAGTGATGGGAGTTCCCAGTCCCAATTACCACTCCTAAGCAAGGATTAGCTGCAGTCATTACTTGTTTCCAGCATATTAATGATTGAAAATGACCACATTTTAGCAATGCCCCGTTAAATATTAATAGCAGTCCCACACCATCTCTTAACCACCCAACTGTTCTCAAATTCTCCTGAATTGTCATTTTTTCAGGCAGATTTCTGACTTCTGGGGAGGGATATTTTCACAGCTTTAAAGCTGTGAATAGTAGTGGGAGAACTGTAGGAGGCAAACCAGAAAAATTGTATTGTCTAACTGTGTTAGATTTTCTAAAAATGGAGCACTATGTATTTACTCATTTTTGAACTCTAAATAACAGCAGCAGTAAAAAAAACAAAAACGTAACATTAAGCTTCCTTACATGCTGAGAACATGGTTTTCCTCCAGGTGGAAATGCTACAGGAAAATGAAGAGCTCGATGGGGTGGTACCATTTTCTTCTTTTTTAGCACAGAATTCAGCCAGTGGGCAGTGATGCATCTTTTCCTTTCTTTCAAAGCCTACAATATTCACAAGTGCAGCAGAACATTGTTACTATAGGTTTTAATTTACCACATTTTATAAGCACTACATAAAAATATTTTTAAAACGATGAATAAAATGCATTCCTGGTGTATTAAGTTTTCAGTTATAACTTTCAAATCAACACTGGAGTCTGAAAGTTTAGATATGTATGCTGTAGTACGTAACACCAAATGTTGTATGGCATTTACTTCTTAAATTTATCTCTTGACTTATGTAGTATCACTTCTTCTATTTTTTTCCCCATAATAATAACCAGTAGATAAACTGATTTTAGAAAAAGCAACTGCCTTCTTCATCTATTGCTGTCAGTAAATTTCCTAGTTCTCACTCATCACCTTAAACATTACATTATTATGTCCCAAAGGTGCTTTTTCAAGAGGCAACTGTACTTTCTGGTTTTTCTTTGAAGACATTTTGTTTTTTACCTAAGAAGTTTCTTCAGCTCAGGTCATCAATTTCATTTGGAAATGAAAAGTAGAGGCACTTGCCTCACAAACATGATATAAGACAACATTATCACATTAGCTTTCATGGACTACAGGCTCTCATAAAGGTATAAAAATCTGGCTGTGTTCCTGAGCCTGGGATGCTAAATGTATTGGAGCTCAGTTTCCTGAGTTTATTGTTAAGTAGCCAAATATCTTAGCTGCTATACGATGTCTTTTAGATAAATATTTTACTTCATTTTTAAATTTTATTTTAAAATATAATGGTAAGCCTATCAGAATTATTGAGTTGAGCTGTAGAATTTGAATGAATACATTTAAAAACATCTCTATTATTATTGTGTTGTATTGTAAGATAATACAGAGAGAGAACCCCACTACTTATTTTTTGTTAACTGCTTTTCATTTTTCATCTTTATTTCAAGAATATTTTTCATCTTTATTTCAAGAATATTTTTCATCTTTATTTCAAGAATATTTTTCATCTTTATTTCAAGAATATTTTTCATCTTTATTTCAAGAATATTTTT